TCGTTTTCATCCAAAGTGCAAGAAAGTCTCGCTCTCTCCTCCCATCCCCTCTCTCTCTCCTCTCTCTCTTCTCTCTCTCTCTCTCTCTCTCCTCTCCTCTCTCTCTCTCTTCCCTCTCTCTCTCCTCTCTTCTCTCTCTCTCTCCTCTCTCTCTCCTTCTCTCTCTCTCTCTCTCTCTCTCTCTCTCCTCTCTCTCTCTCTCTCTCTCTCTCTCTCTCTCTCTCTCCTCCTGCGTGACAGCTGATTCGCACAGTGGTAAGAAATTTAAGTTTCCTGTTTCGTTCATATGGATCATTGCAATTATGACGAGCGTCGCCGACATCTATCATTTCCTCCAACGTGCTTAACTGTTGCTCTGCTTTTTTAGTGGACCAACTGGGCCATGTCTGACTATCTGAAGAAGCAAAGCAACAGTCCAACATATTTAACTGAACCATCCTGAGAATTTGCATGTGAAAATTGTCGATTCGCTTGTCAGCACATACACACGATCCGTGGTTTTTAGTTAATGTGCGGTCTATGTCACTCATTACTGGAATGCCCTTCTGCCAGCATATATAAGTGAAAGGATGTCTTTCCACGCGAAGAATTGGTAGCTAGATACAGTACCTTTTGTAATCCGCGCATATAAAATGGTACGTGCATTATGCGAATGAAATTTAGAAAATAGTTTTCAGACAGACATGCTCGAACTAGTACACGTAAACAGGGCGTTTTCTGCGGTATCCATTCCGAGTGTCTCCCCCCACCCCCTCCCGCAAATTCCCCCCTCTGCCTTCTTATCTGAGCCGCCATGCACACGGATGGAGACCGGCCACTGCCGCCCAACCCACTCAGCGGGAGCCCTGGTCCGATTATTGCGACCAGACCCCCGGAGGGTTAGAAAATAGCGCAAACCCTGCTTACCTGCTTGCCTTGTCTGCTTGCTGCTAGTGTTGACTCAACATACATTGGGTCTAATTCACTAACACCACGGTGTGTCACCAAATGCTGATCTATTCTGGTTGCCAAAGACTGAAATTGACTTAAAAAGCGTCTGATACCGGCATGCTCATGGTCAGCGGAGTGTGTTTGGGCCTGACTTCAGTGCAGTCAGCACTGACTTGTTTTCATTTCTGCATACGCTGCACGCATCAACCTGACATCGGTGCCGACGTTTGCTCCCCTTCCACGATAACCCACACGGTCCGAAGCGAAGCATCTCCGCCCAGCCTGGCCCTCAGCGTGCTCGATCCTCGGCGCGAGCGAGTTCCACAGCACGGCAAAGGTATTGGAAGTAGCCCACAAACGCTACCTTACGAGGCCAGAAGTATATAGAGAACTAACGCTCAGCTAATGACAAAGGATGGAGACTGTGAGGAGTTGCCATTTTCCTTGTGATGTGCTTGCCGACTTGGAAATAGTTGCAGATTCAGCGCCCCTGTCAAGCATTACAAAAAAAACTTATAACGTAGTGCTATGATTGAGAAATGTGAAAAGCGATATCCATTATGCAGATATCTATGGCAGCAAAAATAGTACATCGCCTTTGCCACATAAGTAGGGTAACAGATGCACAGGGGCCTGGGCGACGTGTTGCCGTATAGGCACGCTCTGAATATACTGCAATTTGACTCCGCCTCACACCGGCTCACGTCTTGCGAAGGAGGCGGGTACGGCGCGATTTCAGGAATCGCAGTTTCGATGTCAGAGGTTGCAAAGCATAACCGGATTCGGTGTCACCAACTTAGCAATCACAGTTGGTTCAGATGCATGTTAAGTACACATCTAGTGACTTGCATAACTTCAATCTATCAATGTTGAAGTGGCAATGCTCGTCTTGCTGAACACATTATATCGTTCATAAGCCCTTCACAGTCAGTAAAGGGGTTGTGTCATTAAAGTCAATTATCACTGCTCGTACATCGCGTTTGTTTGCCTCTACGTCTCCAGCAATGGGCTCGTCAATGGTCATAACACGCGGCCGTCAGCGAGCACGTGCAGGCCTGAGTCCCCGGTGGCTGCCCGCCCCACTCCCGTGGCCAGAGCTGACCGAGACGACCGTTGACCAGCGGTGACCGGCGATGACCGGCGGTGACCGGCAGTGACCGCCCGACGTACGACCGGCCGTTGTCGCCCTGGATCGGCGGGGAAAGGGCACGGACGCGAGCCCCGCGGCGCCACCAGCGTGGCCGTATATAACCGGCGTCCGCCGCTGCCCAGGCATCAGTGGTGATCGGTACTCTGAGCTGACTCGACCAAGGTGAGCGCAGCCGAGGCCAGCGGGCGACGCAGTCGGCATCGGCCGCTCGGCGCCGACGCCGACCCGCAGGCCGACGGCGGCGGCGGCGCTGACAAGGGCCCTGCAGAGGGCCGCTCGGACGGACTGCCGGACTGGGGCGCGCAGGGGGCGTTGTGACAAACAACTGTTGGATGCTGGCTTCATGTCATACGCCTAATTTTTTGTATCTGGCTTACAAGCTTAAAAAAATTAAACTTTTGTGCTGCATTTTTCCTTATGCTTTTACTGCCTTCACCGTTTATCTACATATTCTTGGCTGTCATTACGTCATTTCTAGCAGCAGTTTCGTAGGTTGTTCAGTGCATTAGCGAAGAGCATTAGTGACATGGATAGACAGTAGTGTTAGCCTTATTCCTGGGAAAATTCAGGAGAATGGAGATATAGTTAGGTTGATGTTCGAGAAAAGCATGTGGCCGAAACATCAGCCTAGCCAGACGTCCATTCTTCTGATTTTTCCGAGGAATAACGCTAATACTACTGTCGCATCAAAGTTTCTGCTGAGCGACCTGGGCGAAGATAAATGGTGTACATGCCACTTTGCTAAATGCTGGCTTCTGATGAAGCTAAAGGCTCAAGTCATTTCAAACACAAACCCAGCGGTGTTGAGTTAGTGGTTGGGAACAAATAATTCGTAACGTGTCATAGTTAGCCTGCATTGTTCAGGGCGCAGATATGGGTAAGTGTTAAGTGTGGATCGGCTAGAGGTATCAGGTTTATGCGATAGACACAGGCAGAATATTTGTGTTAGGGCGGGAGCTCATAGACAGTTTTGATTTTTACTTTCCAGCCAATGTCCGTAGGGGCAATGTTTAAGTTAAAGAAAGCTGATGGGTTCAGCCCCTTCTGACCGTCTATTTTCCGCGCCCCTGGATGCAGTCTTTCACTCTCAATCTTTCCGTTCTCTCTTCTCACTGTCACTTCTCGTTAGATGACGCAGCACATTTTCATCAAACAGATCGACTTCATCTAATCTGAGTATCGTGAACATCAGGCACCGTTGCGCTTGCCGCCCAAATTTCTCAAAATTACACGGTCCCACTGCGCACAAACGAAATCGCGCCGCGCCATCGCCCCTTTGTCGATGCGCCACGGAAGGTCCAGCCGCGCCGGCCTCGCCGCAGGCCAGGTGACGGCCCGGTCTTTCCCTCTCGTTGAGCGCGCCGCTGCCCGCCTCTCGTCCATCCCGGGGCAATCAGCGGCATCTTTGCCGTCCGCCCGCGACGCGTAAGACGGTGACCCGTCGCTGTCAGTGCGGCCTTCGCCGCCACGCGGGGCGGCAGTCGGCGGCGAGCCGACCGGAGGTCGTGATGTCCCGGTAGTACACCGGGGTTTATTTCCCGCAGCTGACCCATTTCACGCTACGTCGTGAGCTTTCCGTTCGCTTCCGCTGTCTCCACCAGCCACCTCCCTCCTCCACACCCGATCGCGATCAGCTCGTCCTCACGCGGAGCGCGCGACGGCTCGCGGTCGGGCCCTGGCCGCCCTCGCCCGGCGCGCGGCCCGCGGCGAGCGCCCGGCTGGCGGCGCCCTGCCGCCCGTCATCGCCGGTCGGCCGCCGGTCGCGTCGACCCCTGTGGCCATTGTTCCGGCCTACGCCCGGCTCCGATGCGCCAGTCAGCCACGCCTCGCCCGGAGAGAAAGTCGGGCGGCCAACTGCACAGCGCCGGTTGCATCACGAAATGGCGCTCAGCGGCTTTATCACAACACTCCGGGTGAAATGTATCCACCTGCTATGTTAGAGAAATTCTTGGCGGAAGTTCTCGGAGAGAGGTTGCATAATATGACTCGCCGTGACTTGCCGCGAACGGGCGTGTGCTCCCGCTGCCCCTTGACCTTTCTCAGATCAATACGTCGACGAAACGGTCTGACAATATTGATTTAAAGGATGTCAGAGCAACTCGTTTTTTGGCTGAAATAGGATTCACTTTTTTTGTCATAACGTTGTTTTGAAAACTGATTGAAAGACCGCAATTTCACTGCTATCGTTATTCACTATGCTATGGTTTGTTCAAAATCACGTCATCTGTTTGTCGTTTCGTACATACGAAATGATCCTTCTCGTCTGGCACCGCTATTCCAACATAGCTAGGTTGCACAATTTTCATGCCTTCTGCACATTCGAGCAAATCACAGTCTGCATGCATCGTAAACTACGCGGGCACACATTTTCCGTCATTACGCATAAATGCGTCTGTACAGCATTGCTCCCACGGGGCATTTTTCTCCGCGCACTGCTGACCGCCGAATGTAAATTCCGCCGGCCTTCCCAGCCCTTCAGCAGTCCTTTCACTGACGTCACTGTCCGAAGCCTTACCGTGTCTGCTTTTCCGCAGGTGCTACATCACATTGCTCCCGTGTGTTTAACGCATCCAGTGTTCTTCAATTGACACACTGTTCCTGGGTGTCTGACTTGTCCGCTGCTCCTCAGATGCTGCGACACATTGCTCTGGTGTGCCTGGTGGTGGCGGCCACCGCCAAGGAGGTGGAGAAGCGCCAGGTGGGCTACGGCGCGCCCAGCGGGCCGGCGCCATCCACCGGCTACGACGGCGGTTTCGCACCGTCCGGTCCGGCTCCGTCCGGGCCGTCCGGCTACAGCGGTCCGTCCGGCCCGTCCGGTGGCGGCGTGGATGCTTCCTTCGGAGCCGGCTTCGGCGGCGGCTTCGGCGGCGGCTTCGGCGGCGGCCTGAGCGGCGGCGGCAAGTGCCGTGACCAGACCAAGTACATCCTGACCTGGACCAAGGCGGTGATCCCGGTGACCGTGTACGACACGCGCACCGAGTACCTGCCGACCACGCTCTACAAGTACGTGACGGAGACCGACTACTACCCGCACACGGTGGTGCAGCTCGAGACGACGACGCGCGGCGGCGGGTCCGAGTACCAGGAGGAGACCAAGATCGCGTATCGCACCAACACGGTGGTCATCCCGCGCGTGGACACCATCACTTCGACGCTCATCTTCACTGAGGACGAGCACGTGACGGTGACGGAGACGGACCACCTGACGCAGACCCAGGCGCAGCAGTACCCCGTCGCCGTCACTGTAACCAGCGTGCAGCGCGTGCCGCAGGTGGGTCACAGGGGTCACCGCACAGATCGCTGATCCCGCAGAGGCAGCGTAGATCACTCAGAGGTAACACGCGGCATTCGGAGTTAAAGGAGATCACTCAGGGGGTCAGGAGTCCAGGCGTTTTGTCTGGAACTGACGTTCGGAATAAGGATTCTCGTATGCTGCGGTGTTCGGCTGCTAAAGGGCCCATCTGGAGTGATAGCTGTAGCTGGGGTTCATGCTCGAAATTTGCTCCACGGTACACGAGTTGGGCTTCGATTGCGGTCCTGCTGAGTGTCACTAGCACATGTTGATGATCGACGCGCGCTGAAAAGCTCCGAGTGCCCGCTCAAAACGTTCATGTTCTAACGCTCCGCCTGGTTGCAGATCCAGACCTCCGTAGCCACCGAGTACCAGACGCAGTACCAGACCCAGTACGCCACCAACCAGTACAACGTGGTGCAGACCAAGACGCAGAACGTGCCCCAGCTGCAGTACATCACCAACACGATCACGCAGAAGCAGTACCAGACGGTGGCGGTGACCCGCACCCAGAAGCGCTACCAGACGGTGACCAAGTGCGAGCAGCAGGGGTACCCGGAGCCGCCACGCAGCCAGTACTAGGCCACCGGAGCAGTGGAGTCCACCCAGCCATCGACAGACGAGTCAGCTCACTTAGACTAAGTCATTAGGTTAAGGAGCGCGAATTCCCATGCTGTGATACTGTGCTGTTGTTGACCGGAGCGCGGGGTCGAAATCGTCCGCTGGTCGGACCAGTCGTCCCGTGACCTCCACGTGCGTGTTGCTTATTTGTAGCGGGGGTCATGTATTCATATGCTGTTTGTGACGGTCCAGTGTGATACGCTCAGGCGTCGTTCATGAAACGATATCTGGGTTCCGTGTTGTCTAATTCGACGATAAAGATCAGCTGATTGCCCGCTCAAATAGGTATCACGTGCGTTTAATTTTTATGTCATATTTACTCCTGTACAAAGTAATTTTGTAATAAAAGCAAAAAAGCCACACACCAAAGTTTGCCAGCTACCGATTACCCGTGTGAAGCACGCACGTGGAACGTTGCATCATGCAACTAGCAAGCCTCAGCGCGTGACTAAAAGCGTTAGTCAGCAACTCCCGTCGGCCGCAGAGAGCAGTTTAGCGGCACCAGGTCGGCAGCGCCGCCCTAGCCTTTCAGTGCGGCAGCGGCGAGTTGCGCTCCTCCGAGCCGGCCCAGTGCCGCTGCTCACGCGCCATTTGCCCGCCAGCGGCCATTTCGGCTGACGGTGAAGTCATCGGTTTTCAATTAACGGCGGGCCAAAGTGACCCCACTCGTGTTTATGGACGCGGCAGCGTAATTTGACGAGCGCTTTAGAGCGCGGATGGACCCGCGCGGGGGTGCATGCTCGGCGCCTTGCAGAGGAGAGAAGGCTTCCGGCCTTGTGTAAGCGTGATGCTTGTCTGGGAAACTCACACGGGCCTGGATAAAGTGTGGCTGCGCGGTTATTTCTAATTGTGGTCGGTTTGGGATGTCATGAACCGAAAGTTACATGACTTGCAACGCGGTAAACAGCGTACTCTGGGGCTAGAGACGAAGGAGTGGCCTTTTGTTGGGTGTCCTGCTCGCACTAAGTGGACCCGATTGAGAGGCATGGACCCAATATCAATTTGTCTTATTTGTTGTAAGTTATGCAACGCCTCATTGATATCGAACCCCGTGTTTCACTACACAATTGCTGCTGGAGAGCTCGTCAAAGCAAGGCCGCTGTAAAGACGCTAACCTTAAGTCATAGACCTCAGCTGGTTTTTTATTAGAAGCTTTCGACCATTAGTGATCATCAAGGGCTATGAGATTAGGGAGTGGGTGATGGTGGGGCAGGACCAGACGCACCTGGGAGTCCTCCGACGAAAGTGAGGAAAGGAATGCGAATGTTGGTATCCCGATGCAGTAGGGAGTTAGCTGGTACCTATGATACCTATTCAGCAAGGCTGCCTACAAGTCATGAGCTCATTTCTGGCAGAATTAAACCGACATAATTGTTTCACCGCAAATAATGAGAGTAATTATAGTAGTAATCAGCCCACAGCACAGCAGGAGGGAAGGGCTACGACAACTGATACAAAAGGCTTTAATATCGGAAATACTGACAGTTAAGCCATGGAGCGCACTCCGTCTGGGTCCCAGTGATGGCGTCCGATCGAAGCGGCGAGTACGTACATGATGCAGGTTATTGTCTAACTCCTTCACTCAGACCCTGCTCCCATATTTCAGGACGATTGTCACTCTCGTTTGTTGTTAACTGAGGGAAAATGAGCAGTCTGAGTTGAGGTCTCTATCAAACAAAATTGACATTTATTGGTGGTGATCTTTCGCTGTTAACTGACGGAACATAAGGAGTCTGAGTTGAGGTCTCTATCAAACAAAATTGACATTTATTGGTGGTGATCTTGCCTTCTAAATCATTAGCGGTACAATTATAAGTGAGCTGCCCGCGTTAGCACATCCCATTACCTGCAGTGTATTGGGCTCAAGTGCCTATTCTAAGCGTGTTGGTAGATATAACACATAGGTTTAGTTACCGGTGTGACGAGGACGACTTTTCACCCCAGGCAACTCAAAGGCACATTTTGCGTGGATGTAGCTGGTCAGGATATATATATATATATATATATATATATATATATATATATATGTATATATTGTGCTCCACTCTGTCCAGTCTCCACACCAATCGTTACTCGCGATGCTGTACTGATACACCACTATGATCGTCGTAACTCCTCAAAAGTCTAAAAATAGCTTAAAATAGAAGATGTTTTGCATTACATTACGGTCGCCGCTTCGCAGGCCGGTAGCATAAATGGCCTGGCCATATGCCAGATACTCTCGCCCGTCTAAAATGCTCGCCCACGCCAGCCGAAGTTAGGGTCCCCCGTCGTGATGCAATACGTAATAAGCGTAACTATCCGTGTGCCCGCTGCTAATCTGCTAAGACGCCAAGTTTGCAGGTGGTGATGTAATTAGAAAGACGTGATAACCTCACCCGAGCTGTTTTGTTCCACTCCGTCGCCGTGGTGCACGTCCGGTCGTGGTCCGTCAAGCCCACATGAGGACAGAATATTTTCACGAAGAAATGGGTTGGACTCTGACTCGGCGCTGTCCTATCTATATTGGGACCAAAGCCACAGCCACTCCGAAGCCACGAGCGTCACACCGGTCTCTGAGTAAGTAGCGTTATATTTCCACTTGGTAACCGAATAAGCGCAGTATGAACATCTCACGTGCGCCGGTGTTCACTCGGAGACAAGCTCTAGTGTCCGCCCACACTCGGAAACCTGTCCAATCATCACGAGATTGCGCTGCCCGCAGTCATCTGTCACACATTAACACATCCAATAAGGGACGAGTTTGCGTCCCTTGAAGCCTCGAGTTCTCACGGTGCAAAACCAGAGCACTACAACACTTCTAGACAATGCATCACACGTCGGTGCTGAAGCCTGACTAGTCAACCGACGCTCCCGCGCGCCGAAGCGGAACATCTGTCGCGACGCCAGCTGTCTTCATCCCTGTCCGTCCCGCCTGGACTCGCGGCATGAGCCTGGATCAGACGGCAGTCCCGAAGCCCTGGAGGCTCGGAGCCATCGGAAGCTGGTGCTGAGGTCCTGACCCACCCCGACTCGTATCCGCTGCTGCCTGTTGATCTCGCCGACGCTGGCGTTGACGTCCTGGTTAGCGGCTGGCCACATCAGACATCCATCCTGAAGTCGCCGCTCACCAGATGTGCCCCCAGGCGCCGGTGTCGAGTCCTGGACCATCCGATGCGCCCACGGACGTCGAGGCGTGCACCCCGGCTGTCTGCTGGCGGCCACCAGCAGCGGCCTCACACGTTGATGCTGAAGTCCTGGCCCTTGATGCGGTGCGCTAGGGCGCGCAGCTCCAGCTCGCCGTCGCCGGCCGGCCGCGGCTGCAGCAGCTCCTGCTGCAGCTGCAGCTGGTGCAGCAGGCGGGCGTCGGCGGCGGCGGGCGGCCGACCGCGGCCGACGGCGGCCGTGCCGTACTCGGGTGACGGCGGCATCAGCACGGGCGTGCGAGCGCGGCGCCTGCGGACCACACACGACCGTCAATCACCGGCTCCGCGGGCGGCGGCGGACATCGGCGGGGACATGGCGGCGGACCGTGGCTGTCGCGGTGCTGACCGCAGCTGGCGTGCGCGTCGGAACTGAGGTGGAGAGGGAGGCGCAGGCCGCGCAGAGATGCACGTGGACCGACCACGGCTGTCACTGTGAACGGGCTCGGGCCGGCAGGTTGGTGGCCTAGAGTGGACACGTGACCGACCACGGCCGTTACTTCACTCCTGTACCGATATGGGGGTGATCTGGAGGGCTTCCATACAGCGCAGTGACGGATGATGAGAAGCAGTCGCGGCTGTCGGCGCCCGGCTCGGGGGACGGGGTCACTGGAGAGAGGACAACAGATCCGGGTCTGACTGTTGTGAAGGGTGGTCAGGGCGGGGCCATCGTGAGGATGGCGGCTGACGCGGAGCCGCTCTTCACTATCGTAATGCTCACTGGTTTACCTCATCTGTTGTGAGTCACCGCGCGTGTACTATATCTATTTCCATCACAACGCCAAAATCACCCGCCGCGCGCGAGCCTTACAGTCCTGACCCACGAAGTTCAGATCCATTGTTGGTACTGTCACTGCACAGCAAAGATACAATCCAAGATGGAAGATGTGCAAATGCTCGATCACACAGCCTGGAGCAGGGTACTTCTCAAGCGACTACACTGGGTTGGCCCGTTTCATCACCACGTCATCGTCAGGCATCGGGAGAGCTTTAGTGCAGGCTGCGTTTAGGCCAAAATGACGCTTAAATTGGCCATAACTCAGCTTCAGCCGGCGTGCGTAGTAGCTCTCCGCGAGTGTCACAATAGCTGGAGTCGACCGTCAAAAGCGCGCGCGCGCCACGCCAATTGAGCCATCGCCCGCGGCGGCGTGACCTCTGACCCTGGGCGGGTCCAACAGGGTCCAATCAGCCGCATCGAGACGGAGCGCGGCCGCGGGCGGGAGAGCGTCTCGGAGGGCTCCGTGACGTCACGAACAGGTTGGCACCGACACGACGACACGTCCCGAGGGCGACGGGCCAGGAGCGAAAGGTGCTGACGTAATTAGAGGAGAAGGGCTGGAGATTTGCACGCACGGGGATCGTTTCAGTATGTGACGGCGAATAGCAGGCGAGATGTCTTACGGGAAGATCGCCGGATAGCGAGTGAAAATGAAACTCCGAGGGGAATGTTGACCTGGTGTATCGAGTACGTACACAACTTTTTGCGGTGAGTTAATATTGAGGTGTCGTAATTTCCCTGCAGTTAAAGTACTGCACTAAACTATCTATTAAAAAGCCAGACGCCATGGGAAAAGCAGCATAAAATGTCGAGAAAATGGCAGCGGATAATGCGTAACGTAATTTATCATTCCGCTCACAGAACGGCGTGACTCCATAATACTGTGTCGTAACCGATGCATCACGCTGGCTGGCCCACACAATCACACATCAGAAAAACAAAGCGGAAGTGGCCATGTGCGGTGCAGTCAGCTGGTGGAAACGCGAACACCTCTCAGCTGATGATGTCTATCACGCTTAAAACAACCACGCTTTCAGGGTGTTTTTCACTCACAATTAATCAATCAGTATGGAAACAGAGCAGTTATCTGATTTCAAACTGCCATCGCGCCCAGGACGGAAAGGCAAGTTTTGACTATTGCTGTCAGGTGAAGGGTTTCGGTTCCATGACATTGAACCATGCATCGATCTTACACAAACGGAAATGCTGCGCACGAAACAACCATCATCTGCGCACGAAACAACCATCATCAATGACTGTTACCTTAGTAATTGTCCCACAATCAACCACTGTAATGAGGATAACACAATTTCAGGGAGCTCTTTTGACGTCAAGCCAGGTCGCGTGACAGGTGCGAGTCCGAGAAAATGAAAAAGTGGACAAAAACGAGACCATCAAATTTAGTAACAGGTCCCCCAGGGAACTCATCTGAGCGGCATGGGTGGGCGTTGCAAGTGGAATTAAGTGGCTCAAAACACGCCGTTCGCCCCGCTTCAGTGAACATAACTACAGAACACCGCTGTACCCCGGAGCATGGGCTATTAAATTCACCATCGGGCTGTTTGCACATCTAACAAATTGCAGCATCAACCCAACAATCCATTGGGTGCCACTCAGGCGGCTAGCTCTACTATAATCAAATTAATTGCCCCCGCAGGGCCGATTTCGTGCGTTTCGCGGCGGCGTTTGTGGCCAGCTTCTGGAACAAGACAAACGCAAAAACCGAAGGTGCAAAAACATCAGCTGTCTACATAGGAAAAGTGGGGTATCGTATTAAAAACGGGTGAGCTTGAGTGCAAGTCAAAACACAAGAGCAAGCCGTTTCGATCACGACGAGTCTGACCAGTCGAGTTGCTGTCGGCAGATAACCGTTCTCAGTTCGCAGCCTCGTTACCAGCGGACACCATCCCGCCCCCAGCCTTCCCCCCCCCCCCCCCCGCCCTGCTGCTCGAGGTGCGCCGATCTGTCGTCATGTCGCAGCAGGAGTGGGGGTTGTGTGGGGCGGCGGCGGCCGAGTTGGCGGGACGGTCGGGTCACACACGCGACAGCAGCGTTTACTGCCGGAATTCCCAGCCATCGGTCCGGCGGCGGCCGCCGAGCCGCGACCGCCCGTTGGGCAACGGCGTCGGGCCCGGCGTGACGGGACGCCGCAGCTCCGACGGCCGATCACACCCCGTCCACCGGCGGCGCCGGCGAGCCGTGAGCGCGGGCGAGAGAGGGAGCGCGGTCGCCCGGCAGTGGAGCGGCGTCACCTGCCGGTGCCCCGCAGAGAGCCAATCCCGTCTGTCACGCACGGCCACCTGCCGAAGGCCCACGCGGCGGCGGCGTACTCCCACGCACCGCCCCGCTGGCTGAGCCGACACGGTGGCGTCGGCGCGCCGCTCTGTCAGGCGGCGGCGCCCCGCGCTCGGACGTGGTGCCGGCGCCCCGCCTCAGACCCACTCGTGCTCGGACGTGGTGCCGGCGCCCCACCTCAGACCCGCTCGTGTTCGGATGTGGCGCCGGCGCCCCGCCTCAGACCTGCCCGTGCTCGGACGTGGCGCCGGCGCCCCGTCTCAGACCCGCTCGTGCTCGGACGTGGTGCCGGCACCTCGCCTCAGACCCGCTCGTGCTCGGACGGGGTGCCGGCGCCCCGTCCCAAACCCGCTCGTGCTCGGATGTGGTGCCAGCGCCCCGTCTCACTTCCGCTCGTGTTCGGATGTGGTGCCGGCGCCCCGCCTCAGACCCGCTCGTGCTCGGACGTGGCGCCGGCGCCCCGTCTCAAACTCGCTCGTGCTCGGACGTGGTGCCGGCGCCCCGTCTCAGACCCGCTCGTGCTCCGACGTGGTGCCGGCGCCCCGTCTCAGCCCCGCTCGTGTTCGGACGTGGCGCCGGCGCCCCGTCTCAGGCCCGTTCGTGCTCGGACGTGGCGCCGGCGCCCCGTCTCAGACCCGCTCGTGCTCGGCCGGCGCGGCGGCACACCGCTGCGGGCGGAGGTCACCCGCCGTAACGGTCGTGTGGGGCGCGTCACGGAGGCCACGCACGGGCCATGCGAGACGCGGGCGCCGGCCGTCCCGCAGCGCCTGACTGACCGCACTGCCGGACTGATTGGACTGCCGGACTGCCGTCCGTCTCGGACCGTCCGTCCCGGACTGGACGGCCGGAAGATCGCCGCCCAGCGAGAGGCCGGGAGTGGAGATCAGTGGACCGAGGCGCCACCACCGCCGCCGCGCTGCTCGCGCCTCGTAACCGACACCGCCCCGGACTTGTCGGCCAGAGCTGGCCGGGCGCTCCAGATGAATATCGTGAGCGGCCCATGACGGCCCAGTGAGGAAACGGCTAGGTGATAAACGGCAGTCATCGGGTGCTGGTATAGCGCGCAGTAAATCTGGCGGCTTGAACACCAGGTGTTGCTTCATTTGTAGCGAAAGAGAGGCAGACATAGGGCTCGATATGGCGTCCATGGCACACGCTACAAGCCGGTGTTATAGATGCTCAGCCATAACGCATGTGACAGTCTCTTGATGAAGATATCCTGCATGACCGGACGTTCTTGCGACTGCAGCGCAATCGATGGAGTTGCATTACATGAGATGCTGAGCCATCCAGTTCATTGCGTATGCATTTGATGCGCAACCTGATGCGCAACCATGGGAGTATAGGTGCATTGCTGATGGCTCCTGGGAGACTATGGATAGATTCTGATGATTCCAGGAGCGTCCATCGACGCAGACGTTGAAATGCATCGATTACAATAAAGTGGAAAATCATGGGTCACTAGCGTGTTACACAATTTCTTCAAAGCTTACCGAAAACATGGCGTCTTTATACCCGTGGAAATGTGACGACCGGTCAGTGAACAGATAAAGGTCATAACGAACACGATAAGTGGGATACCACGCCATGCAACTTGCGTAGTACGTGTACGTGCGACATTGCTATCGTGGGCGAACAGAACTTGGGGTCCGCATTTCAAATTACGTTAATGGGTCCCGTCGTCAGATTGTCCGATCCCAGATCGGACAATCGGACAGATCGGGGAGATCGGAAACAGAGCAGCATGCATGCTGTATTGAGAAGACAGGAGGGCATGGCAAAGAAGCAACGCCACTATCAATTCCTCTTGGTATGAAGGAGTAACAACGCCACTGTCCGGTCCTCGCGGTCAGACAGGCGCACCCGCTGCGTTCTCCCGTCCGGGGCGACGGGATGGCGTTGCACATCACTGGCCACGTGGACAGTTTCAGCAGCAGGTTGTGAGCCCACGCGGCCTTGCACATCGCTGTGCATATTGCTGGCGGTCGCGCGGAGCGATAGTACGCGTGCCAAACCGGAACCTCGGCAGCTCTCCGTGGCCGGCCCGCGCCGCGCCACCGGTCACGTTTCATTCCTTTATTAATATTCACAACTTTTTGATTGGATCGATTTCTGGGACCAGCGCTGAGACGAGCAGCGCTTGTATGCGATTTAGCCCTACCATCCGATTGCGAAATTCCAGAGCAACGGCAACGGCATTGTGTGGCGAAAGTGTAACGTGCCGCGGTGCTCGGCACGGTCCGCTCCACTGACCCCCCCCCCCCCCCTCTCCTCCCACGGGTGGGTTGGGAGGTAGGCGTTCTAACCGACTGAGCCACGGAGGCGGACATCCGACTTCTTGTTAACGGCGAGCGCCAACGCTTTAACACCGCAAAGCCCTTTAGCACAGCGTGACTGCTGCTCAGTTATCCCACGCGCCCGGCACGGTTTCAAAGGCAGGGTGGAACGCCGGTGTCCGGGCTGGCAAGCAGTAGATGTGACGTGGCGGACAGTGGAACATCCTGGACACGCCGCCCACCAGACCGGGACACTGGCATCGACCACACCAGAGACCGACAGCTCAGCCCTGAACGGCGGCACCGCGTCTTCAACCACCACGCGCACGTGCTGGCGAAGCTCGCTGGTGGCGGCCCGCTTGCGTCCACTGGCCAGCGCTCTGGCGATGTGGGGCGCGTGGTGAATGCAGCAACTGCGCATCTGGCGCCGAGCCAGCGCGGGCGGCACGGCGTCCCCACACTGGAGCGACATCGGATACGGAAGCGAGCTGGGCAATGTGGGGAGTGGGTGGAGGCCACGATTACAATTGCCAAGGGTTACGACTTGGTACACCGCGAGGAACGGCCCTCCCTGCGCATGCAAACTTTGGGTTCTAGGGGTTCGAAGGAGATTCGGCAGACACCTCGAGGAACCAAGGTTCGGGTGTGAACGGACTGCATTTCAGAACGCCACCGCCACGTCCACGATGACGTCAGCACGATACCTCCTAATTCACTGGGGCGACCTGGACCCCGACTCCGTGTTCGAGTGGTCCTGATGCCCTGGTTCGGCTGGGCGGACCACGATGTCGCCACCGCGGCTATCACCGGGGTCACGCAATCGGTGCCGGCCGGCCTAATGACCTGGACCAGATACGGTCGGCTGTGCTATACTGACCAGTCACCTCAGCGGCGGCAAACGAGGCTACTTACCTCTGACAGCAGTTACCTCATCTCACCATTGACGGAGCCGTCGCATCGCAACGGCACATGACTATTCTCAAAAGAAATGTTTTCATCACTGTCAGTGATGGGTGTCATCAGCGCCCGAATGTTAGTCTGCGTACTGACCTCTTCCGTTTGGTGCGTTTGACGGAGAATGACCTTGACCTGACGTCAGGAGACACCTGGCAGGAGGAGCTGGAAGACTCGGCGCACCGTGACATATCTGGCGGATAGAAACGAGTCACACCCACCTGAAAATGCATTACGATGCACCTGGCGTACTGAAAAGAGACTGATGATTCCGTGAGATCGACTCAAAAGTGAAACGGGAAGAATGGCGTGCAATGCGAAATTAAATGCACTTTTGCGGGCGAGTGAATGACACAATCCACGTGTTATGCGATCTATTGTGCGTTTTCGGGCTTGCTCAGACTGTATGATATTCTGCTAAAGAAGTTGATTTTAAAGAAATCAGTACATATGGTTTATTTGGTCTGATACGACTGTTTGGATCCAGCTCATGCTGACTTGCTGCAAGTTTCCATATGCGTCCAATGTGTTTTGCTACGCGTCACCACGTTCTTTTAGGGATCAGGGATTTGATCAGGGATTTATGATGCATGCTTGTTCATGTCCGTCCATTTAATGTGAAATTTCACAAATTTGGGCAATGTTTCCTCAGCAGTTCTTATACGTATTATTGCGAGACAATCGCCGATAGTTTTGGATGCGATAAGTCACGATCATCGAAAGAATGCACTCACGCCAGCGATAGGTTCCGACCAAAACGCATTGCGGCATTGTGACCCACGCATTCAAATCTTGTCCCACAGAAACTTACACACTGCACTTGAATATTGTGGCGCGTACCGCGACATGGCATCCTCTTCTCATAAGAAACGGTTACGACCAAGCACCATGTTAGAACACCTGACGTCTGACAAGAAAAAGGATGAGATTGGAACGCGGGGACGATCTGTGAGTACAGAGGCCCGTCACACACCTCGGCAGGAATGAAACTCTTCAGCTTTGCGTTGGCGACCGCCAGCACCGCAAATAATAGCCGCACATAATACTGACTTTGGCGGTCGCCGACGCAAGACATACTGCTGTGACAATGCGGCAAACTGGTAGCCGAGAAGTACATTCGTGCATGTTTAGGGTGCCCTTTACTTTGTGGATACATTGCGCCCCGGAGGCCTAAAATGACGCTGCTCTGCCGTCAGTTTGTTATAATATATCGATACATTTACATGCCTGCTTGTTTCACTTATCAGGCAGTCGCTCAGGTTGTGTCACCTTTGTGAAATAGATAACAAGTGAAGCCAGGTTAAGATGACAATTGGCAGAGTTATATTTGTAAGCTGTGACATTGTCTATTCACTATGCGGTTTCGTAATGGAACCTTTAAAGCAGCTTCAAAAGCAACTTGTGTCTAACCAATATCTACAAATTGTTCAGGGGTTCTGCAAACTTTCCCAGACTGAAGCCCTACAGATGCCATCGCAAATCAGGACTCAGGCATTCCCTGACACGTGGGAGATTCTCCACAGACACCACAGTATTACATGGACGTGGCGAAGGGGATCTGGACCCCCCCCCCCCCCCCCCACCCCCTTCCCTGGGCCAAAAGGCTTACAGTAGATCCTGGGCACAAGAAATCTGTCTACGTTTGCAGTTGTTCGGGGAACATTTTCCTTCTCCCGAGGGGACTTCCTGACCACATGCCTGGATTGATGTTCCGCAAACTGACCAGCATCACATCTGCGTAAAACTGACATTTTAATAACCGCGGCAATTTAAACGACCATCAACTTACCAGCAGGTAGGAACAATACTCAGCTCCATCAGAGCAAAAAGAAAGTATCATGGGTATCACACAGTTCCCCTGCAATATCGCTTCAATGCCCTCTATCTTAGCCACGGAGGTTGCGGTGTCTGCAACGGATGTCAGAGACTCTGTCGGAATTCCGAAAGCAGCCAATCTAAGCATTAGCAGCGGCAAAATCCAGCTATCTTCTGGAAAAGCCTCTCGAGCTTTGCCGTGCGAGTATCGTAAGCATAGAATCGTGCATTGTTTTATAAGTTACGGGTAATTAGCTATGGTGCAGCGTTGTCCAGACGACTTTGTGCTTGTTAGTGCAGGAAGACATAATGAGTTAAATGCCTGTGGTCCATTTACAAATAGAACGTCTTGTATATATGGAAAGGGTGTGGTTTGCTCCCTTTTAGGTTAAAATTCGAACGTAAAATTTCGTAACTGTTGGTATAATACAGAGCTCATGTGTGATCTTTCAGCCGATCCTTAACTAAGGAATCAATTTGTTCGAGGTGTTCCACAACTTCTCCTGACTTGCCACACCATTTCGAAACACGGAAAAGGCCATATGCCCAAAAACAACTGTACTCGGTACACAACCCGTCCTGTTCGTGATCACTTTAATAAAAATCATCATATTTCAAACCCAGTGGACAATAACGCTGTAAGGAATGGGCTAATCGCTTTTTGACACAATTACTAGGCACTGTAATGTGTACCCACATACATGAGCGTTTGGACGCTTTCACGACAAGTCATTAACTTAATAATACCTTATAGCGATCGGTGGTAGTTAAAAGGCACTCAGATTTACTTGGTGATGCTGCAACAGATGCCGCACTGCGGTATTTCTACAACCGTCAGTCCGGGCATCTTTTACTGCCTTGCGAGAATAAAAACAGACGCATAGCAGCCAGTCGTATAGCATCTGCGCTCACCCCCAAGCCGGCGAGCCAGTTAATAACCTCACAGTCATAATGTCGTAAACCGAGCAATCCCCGACAAAAACTGGACCATTGTGGTGGCGCATGCCCGACCGGCCGGGTGCTCTCAACCCTGTCTCATTAACTCCGTGACTTTCACGTGGTGAATCGGAACAGGGCGTCCGTCGCTACCTGGACGATTTCGTCGGCCGTTCGAAAGGCCATCCCGTTCAGAGTGCGCACATCTAGCCGGGCGCAGCGCACTTTCAGACATGGCGAAACCTCTGCTGCCAGCAGGCATGCAGCGAGCCGCGGGCACCGGCCGGCGCACAGACGCGGCGGAATGCGGGCAAAACGAGCAAACAAATGGCGATCGTTCCAAGCGGCTTGAGAAGCGCGGGCCGCATTCATGTCAGTTGTGGAGCAGCGGCCGGGGACGGGGCGACATGGCCGGCCGGCTTCTTGCGGAGCTCACTCGCACGGCGTCGGCGGTTACCTCTGTGGAAGGAGCGCTGGCCGCGGTGCAGGGACGAGGACCGCACCAGTCCCGGGTCGCTGGCCGAGTCGGATTCGACCTCGGGCGAGTCGTACTCGTCACTGGCCGGCAAACTGCGGCCCCGCTGAAACTGGGACAGACACAGCTTGAGTGTCACACAGAGTGTCAGCAAGCAACACAGCTGGCTTCAGCCATGAAACTCATGATGTACTTCGAGTAACTTGACGCTCGTGTTGGTGGTCCGCTCGGAATTTTGTTGTCCCATTTTCTCGTAAACGAGAAACCGGGAGATGCTCTGTAAACCTACAAATCTCAGGCGTTGATGTAAGGTAGTAGATAGTAAGGTAGATGTAAGATGAAAAAAATGTGGGTCGAATCGAATTTGAGGTTAACATTTTGCACCATACCGTAAGCGTCACATCAAAGTTAACAAAACGCTAGAGAAGCCCCAAACTCATGAAAATTTCCACACGGGAAGTCGGACTACCTCCGTATATTAGTGCTTTGCATTCCAATTATAATGCGTGTGATCTATGAACTCACGACATCGTCCTGAATAGCGAGTTTGAGGGCCATGTGTACGAAAATATTGCCCGAAAAAGCAAAAAAAAAAACTTTTTTCAAACATACCAGTCTGTCACAGGTCTGAACGCATTTTCTACTCGGCCGCTAGATGGTACTTGCATGGCTTAAGCTGTTACGAACACGCATACAATCATATCAGGATGATCAAGTCACGACCATGGCTACTTCAGCGATGGCCCAGACTAAAAAAATGTCACAAATTCACGACAATCCCGACGAAACGACTATTCTATCAACAGGAGAGTTTGATTACGTTTCTTAGGCACCTCGTACCTCATTCATGATAATATAACGGCGTAGGGCCTGAATATTGACGTGCCTGGCGCCCGGCCTAGCTGAATATTGACTCTTACGTTCTTATGCAAATCAAAGGCCAGATATAAGTGAAAGAGCAGTACAACGCAACGTGTTCCACCTCCAAACAACTTTCTGAAAAGACGCGCTCGAGGTCATCCACGTCGGATACCATCGACAAGCTTGGAAGAGTCCTGTCGTCGATCTCTGAGAACCCGAGCGCTCCGCTGAGACCTCCCATGAGTCTCTTGGCGTGACGCTCGGTATGTGACCCGCCTGCCAGCCGCGCGTCAGAAAAAGGCCGTCGTTGCTTCACACGGCTCTATCAATACGCGTCGGCGGCGGTCGGCTCCACGGCCGATTGCGCCTGTCCATCGCAGACGTGCCGCGGCGGGCGGCACGGGCGCCCACCGGCCTGTATTGCCCGCTCCTGACCCGACCTGGAGCGGGCGGTCTGAACCAGGGCACGCGCGCCGTCGGCCCGTATTGGCCGCTCGTGACCTGACCGAGCGGGCGGTCCGGATCAGGGCACGCGCGCCCGTCCCCCCGTATTGGCCGCTCGTGACCTGACTGGAGCGGGCGGTCCAAATCAGGACACAGCGCGCCCGCCGTCTGTACTAACCGCTCCTGACCTGACCTGGAACGGGCGGTCCGAATCAGGGCACGGGCGCCGTCGGTAGCTCGTGTGTAGGCAGTCGCCCTCCGGACCGCACCGGGCTGGGTCTATCTGGGCTTAATGCGTCGCTCAGGCGCGTCAGGCGCGAGCGGGGTGGTCAGGTAAATTGTGATGTTACTTATGAGGGCGGGCTGGGGTCGCCCAGGAACACTGACAGCCGGATGGCAGGAGTGACGGCTCTGCGCTGTGGTTAGGGCGCGGCCTCCAGATGTGGTTGGACACGGCCTCTACAAGCGATGCGGAGAATAAGTGGGCATATAAGTTGATGAGGTGGAGCTGCATGGTTTCATTCGCATGGTTTCATTCCTAGGCGTTCGTGCAGCACGAAGTTATGTGTTTACCTGAAGTCGGCCTGGGAGGCCATGTCGGACGGAAAAGACGGATGTTATTTACACTGATTATTCGGTGCTTTCAGGGCGTTAACCATAAGTTCCCAAGGCACAAGCTAAGACACTCATACCATCTGAGGTACCGTGCACATCAGTGGTGTGTCTTGTGTCTGTCCGGCAGGCGCCAGAGAGTTATCGCCAAAACGGAAAAAAATTCCGATTGGAAACTGGGGGCTCCGACGTGCCGCAAGATCACCCTTGACCCCCTCCTTTTCATTGTTGATTAACGATTTAGTGCGCCATTGCATCTGGCTCTATTTTATGCTCTGACGTTAAAATTACCCGCAAAAGTACGTCCCCGTCTGATGGCCTGCTGCTGTAGATTGATCTCGATCAATGGTGGCGTGATCGATCAGATGGGGGCTGAGCCTCACCCTGTAAACTGTAAAACATCCACGACGACCCTCAGATATGCCCCGTCCATACGAGTATTTAATCAATAGAAATGGGTTTTGAACATGTGTGTAAACTTCGAGACCCTGGGGCAACGCAGGATACCAAAATAACCTTCGTGTCACATGTCTCTGACACGTTCAGTAAAGGCAACGAACACTTGGTTTCCTTACTCTAACCTTCCAAGTCGGTACTAGCACGTCAAAATAACAACCGAAGCGCAGTGATGGCAGAGTATTTGCAAAACGTGAGATCAGTTTTACAATATTGTAGCGTGGTCCGGATGGGCGCGGCTAATTCCCATACATTGTGAGTACGATCGAGTGCAGCACAAGGCTATAATTTGGCTTATCACACATTCTCCGGGCAAACGCTCTTTTTCTTCCAACATCCTTTTGATTTATTTCAAAATCCCATCCCTAGCACCATGAAGCATGCAGTACGATTTGCTCTTTTGAAAAGCATCTTTAAGAACTGGACTATC